CACATTTATTTCTCAAACGCTAAAAGGAGAAAATTTATCTAAGAAAGCAAAAGAGAAAAGGGAAGTTCTTCTTAAGAAGATAAAAAATGTTAAGGCAAGGTAAGTAAGCTTCAAGGCTTTAATATGCTATAAGGTCACACATAAAGTTTTTACAATCTTTCAATAACCTTTAACAATATTAGCAAAAATCTGTTTAGGTACTGATTTTGTCAAATAATCTGCATGGGTTCAAGTCTTTATATCTTTCCTGAAGCTGCTGCAATTGTCAGAAATGGGAACAGAAGGATTTGTCCCATTTGAATTGCTGTAATATTCTGAACCCTGATTGCAGCCTGGTTCGGTAGAGCTTGCCTTCACCTCTGCTTTGATAAGACTTACTGAAATTTAAGAAATATAATGCATTGAGAATATGAATGAGTTTCCTGTCACAATACTCTGCTGGTGTAAACCAGCATAGTTCAATGCTGACTTTGCTTTACTTTATAGTCTGTCATTTAGCTCTGTAATAGCAAATTGAAACATAACTGGAAACTATTTATACTTTGCTTCTGCAGTGTTAAAATAGTGAAGTACTGTGACAGACCACGCAGAGCGCTGTGGCCTTTTTCCCTTTTCCTCTCTTTTTTTCTCTCAATAGGTATGATTTGAGACTCTGTTGTGTCTTAATTTCAGTCAGACAAGTCAGCTGAAGAGATTTGGCTGTAGTTTTATTTGTGCTACAAAATTTTACTTGCAAAATCTCTTTTCTTACAACTCTGATCAACTAGGATATAATCTAGTACTTGTTGTTCTTTTCCCACTGTTGTTTCCAAATTGTTTTTCTACTGATCCACTCCTGTGTGATATCTCTTAACCTTTCCTTTGATGACATGCTCCTGCCTCTGTGGCAACTTGTTTACAATTTCAAAGACAGCACAATCTTCTGGCAAGGGCATCATTCTTTGCATGACACTAACTGTGGGAAGACATGAGATGTATCCCAGAGTCTTGTAATTGAGGGTTTGTGTGCCTTTGATTCGGTTTATAAATGCTTAGGGAACTACTTTTTTAAGGAATCAGGATTTTTTTTCTTTTCATGCTTTCCCATCTGGGTTATTGAGCTAAACTGGGACAGTACAGATGACTTGCAGATACAGCGCTACTGACTTTTTATCTTCAGTCTTATGAGTCAACTATGGTTTTTTTTTGGTTGATGAAATATTGAAGGAGGGAACCTGCAGTTACGGAAGCAGTTGACCCTGAATGCTTTGCCATTTGTTTACGTGACCCCACCATTTCATGTCTTGTTTTAATTTCTAATTCCTTCCTTGTCTCCTGTAATTCACTCTTAGTAACATTTTGTTTTTTCATGCAGGCTGTAAAATATATGCACATTGTAGTCATCTTCGACTTTCGCATCCCACATATTGGGCTGTGCCTAACACTGCTAATTCCTATACAGGATTTCTCAGATCTGGCCTTTTATCTCTGTTTGCATTTCTTGGTTTCTTATTGCTAGACCATGCCTTTCTCTCCTGCTCGTTACTTGTAAGAACTAACCTGATACACATACTACTGCTTATTGTCTGTAAAGATGGTCTTGGCAGCTGCATTTTATTTGCCAGTTATTTCTGGTGAAATCCTCTCATTTTCACATAAAGTCCATGCACGCTTCTTCAGGTGCTGTTTTAGATAACACTGTCCTGATTATTTGTCTCTATACATCATACTGTATCCTATGATTATTTTTGTTTCTGAAATACCAAGATTTAGCTCTGAAGAAATATTTTTTTTTCCCCTCTGGGATGATAACAATAGAAGTGTTTTAAGCATCAAGTATGGTAAGATATTCCTATTTGAAAATGACTTTTTAAATTTAGGCCTGCATCAATTTTTATATTTCTGGTTAATTATTAATACTTTTAAATTTGAATTTCGTAGATTATTGCAACTAAACCCAGTATTTGTGGATTTTTTTTTTTTCTGCTGACCTACTATTTTAAAGTATGCTTAGTGGGTTTTACTTGTGCACAAAACTTTCTGGAATATGTTACTATTTGGAAAATTTACTAAAGATGCTTATTTATGTTTATACCTTAAGATAACTGAATAGATGTATATCCCTATAAATGGCAGCTCTGAGTTTGGTTTTGTTCCAGCCTTCTTTGAAATGACGGGATTCTCTCAACTGCAGAGGCAAAAGAAAAACTGAGTAAATACGTTAGCCAAAAATAAAGACTTAAAAATTATTAAGGAAAACTTGACAGTGCTAAGTTTCAACTACAAAACTTGTTAAAAACTAGCAACTGTTCCGTGCTGTATTCTAGTACTATGGATTGGCAAGTGCATTGCTTTACTGTGTTTCTTATTCTTTCTGCAGTTACCCTCAAGAGTTCCAGGATAAAGGTAAATGTCGCGGTTTGTTTGTTTGTTTGTTTGTTTGTTTTTTCCTTCCTCCCCGTGATGTACTTTTGCCCCCTGGCATACCCTAAGCCGGAGAAGCACAAGGCGCTGGCTGCGGCCGTGCCCAGGTGCTCCCGCGGACGAAGGGCCTGGCTCCCCCTGCTGAGTGAAGCGGGAAAAGCTTCCCGGTTGCCAAGTTCTCGCTAAGCCATTGCTCAAAGCCAGGTCCCATTTCCTTCATTGAACGCCTCTGAGAAGGCTTACTGATGAAAGGATGAGCTTAGAAATATAGTTCAGAATAGGAGCTTGTTATGTCTGGCTTAATTAGGACTAGCGTAGCGCTGCAAAAGACCATGTAAGCAGGTTTTTTTTTGTTTTCCAGAGGAAGCCTATGCAAAGCAGTCTGCTTAGGAGATAAAATTTTAATAGGGATAAAGTATTTCAGCCATTTTCTCTTAAGATTGCAAAAGTCTTTAATTCCATAGTGATGTTTCTTTAACCTTTTAATAGGATCATCTAGTGGCAATATGATATTGGCTTTCGATCCACGCTGAATGAATGTTTCCATAGTGCAGCCGGAGCTCAGACCTTCAGTTGGAGAGGAGATGATTTAGTGTGCAAGTAATGAAAACTGAAGTGTGGGTTATCTATTGTCTTCTAGTGGAGTTAAAACAAAGCTGCAGAGTTCAGTTTAGAGAAGTCTGAGTGTGTTGCTACAGTGCTCTGTTCTGTTAACTAAACCTGGAAGGGCTCTTATTTCCATGATGCTAATTCTTGAGGTCATGACCTATAGCCTGTGGATGCTGGTATGAGGGTCACAGTGCGAGGTCAAAAAAGCCAATGCAAAGCTTCACTTTTTTGCAGTGGTTGAAGAACTGTCTGTTTCTGGACAAGGAGGTTGAAATGTGTGGGCTACAGTGTGCCTCCTGATAGAGTGAAAATATGTAAGTCGTATTAGGCAAGTAATGCTGTGACAAGGCACAACAAGTTCATACATTTCTTATCTCTGTTTAATCAAGTTACACAGCCATAGCAGTTTGAATAAGATGAAAATACAGCTTGAAACTTCCCAAAGGTTGCCAAGGTTTTGTAAATTCAAACTATGTGGTTATTTAAAAAATGCATTAAAATAGTTTACTATTTTTTTTTAATAATGCACCTCAGCACCCTTATTGAAGTTAAAACGTAGTTTCCTTCCTTTCCTCACTGTCCAACAGAACTAAATGTAGAAAAGTCAAATGTTATTTTGCTAAACAAACATGAAATAAGGTAGGCTAGTTATTTCATTGCAAGTGCATCTGACTTTCCAGAGGGCATGTTTTTTAAGGTTTAATAACTTTCTGAGGCTGTGAATTGCCAGTAAACATGACAGTTGTCTGTAGAGAGCAGAGTTTGTGTTTACTGGTTTGCTTTTTATGAAGGTCAGGAAAATTCTACTGTGCTTACTTTCTTCACTGGCATTTGATTTGGAATTTCTTTTCTGATTCAACAAATTTATTAATGAAAGCTCATCGCCATCAAAATAGATGGTTTAATTGATATAGTCTGCAGTTGTTACTGTATAACTTGTTCTGACTTCTGTGAAGGTTGTATTCAGTCTTACTCCTTTTGTTAGAGTGCATTTGATTCTTGGGAAGGATATGTTGCCCCTTTAAATTCTCATGATGTCTTACTGGTTCAGAACTACACATAGATGGTGAAGCTTGCAAATGCTGATACTTTAGTTTTCTTTCAGTATTTGTCAATAAAATGAGAAGGCTCTAAAGTAATACCATTGTTTTCTGCAAGTGAGGGTAAATTTCTTTAAATTCTGTGCCTTTACATGAATAAATACGAAAAGAAACCCCAAACGATGAGAAATGGGAGCCTACATTTATTTGCAAAATATTTGAGGAAATATGGTATGGGTTGTTGGTATCATTTCCAGAGTTCAAGAAGTGTGTGCTAAACTTATTTGGTTGTGTCATTCTTACTCCAGGCCTGTACAAATTAGGCATGACTTGTGTAGGTGTAGGACAAAGGACCCACATGGAGGTAAGCAGTGAGATTCTTGGACAGCTACTAGTGTAACAAAGCAGCGGCAGCAGCTGAGTGAGGTCAGCTTTTGTGCCCATTCATATCTCTGTGCACACCTAAACATTTGAAAAAATGGAAAATTTGAGGAAAGGTTAAAAACTGAGGAAAAAAAAAAATAACCTTTGAGAAAAGGTTAAACATTTGAAAAGAGGTTAAAACCAGTGTTGGTCAGACATTTTCCTGCTCCTCCCCTCCAGAATAAAAAGAAATATCCCAAAATATAAGATGAAAAAGGAGAATATCCTTTAGGAAAAAGGGAGAGGTGGAAGCAGAAATGTGGAAACTGCACTGAAACAAACTAGGAAGAATAAAAGCTACTGTGCACATTTAAACTTGATGTTTGTTGTTCCTTGTTTTGTGGTAGCAGTGACTCCATTTTTAGTTTTTTTTTAATGCAAATAAAATAGTCTTTGTTGTAGCTGGAAGGAAAGGTGAAGAATAGTTCATATTATGTGCCATATTATCATGGTATAGTATTTATCACAGTACATTAATTATCATACCATGTCAGCTGTTTTCAAGAATCTAATGAGTTGTGACCTGTCATCCTTCCAGAAGCACTCAGAAGAATCTTTTGGAAGCTGAAAGAAGTGAACAAATGCTTTAAAAATTGTTATATCTTCTGTATAACGTAATGAAACTTGACTGTGGTTTCTCAAACAGCAGCTCCTTCAGCTTGTGAGTTGTTCCACAGTTATGCTTTGTGGTCATCAGCTTGTGACTCCACTCTCATCGTTGCATGCTCTTGAAGTTCTGCTGGCTTTGCATGTGGTAACTGGTCAGTTTGACCAAGGTACTGTATGTGTATGGGCTTTGGCCACTATCATGCAGAATCTTATCTTTCATAAAAATAAGGCACAGAGGTTTTAAAAGAATAATAAAAAAAAAAGTTGAAGAGCACATGCACAAGTAGAACCAGGCTCCTTAAAACCAAAATCATCTGTGTGAGTATCTCTAACTTTCAGAAAGCACATACATATTTCTTTGCAACCAAATTGATAAACTTTGGGACTTGCTTGCGCCCTCCTAGAAAGAAGCCTTTTTAGTTTCTCTGTTAGGTCAGTAAATATGCTGGCAAAAGCATCTTCTGTGTCTACACAGTGAAAAAAATAAGCTTTTTTGGGAAGGTGGGTATATGTGAAAATTAAAGACATAAAATTAGTTGTATAGGAAAATATTTAATTCTCATGTGTGATGTGTTATCTGATTTTACACTGACTTTTACAGTTAATTTACAAAGTGCATGGTGTTCTTATGACAGAAAATGTACAATTGTACTAATACCCAAAATACTAATCTTTCCGCAAATTTTATTTTTTATTGAGTTATTAAACATTTATTGCATTTATTTTATTCTTAAATTAAGAAACTGCTTTTTTTTCTTTTTCTTTTAATTTGAAATATTTGACTCCTCATCTAAGTAGTTTAAACAAAACCAAAAAGCCATAGTCGCACTCAAAGTGACCTGTTCTAGATCTTAGAATTGAGAAAGAACTTGAAAACTAAGATAATTCTCATACAAATTGAATTCATTTTTCATAAGACTAGTATTCCACTAAGGATATAAAAGTCTGGATTTTGTCAGAGATCCTGAGTTAATACAGTTTTTGGCATTTCTCTGTTTTGAGATTAATTGAATCAATACCGTGGCTGCCAAAATGTTTAGTAAAAAGAACCTTGCTTTCAATTTATGCTAAAAATAGCAGTAAAGTTGGCAGAAGCACCATAAGCCCTAGAATCAGTTTTTGTGTTTGAAGATCACTTGCCATCTGCTCTTTGCATTTATTTTAGTAAAAGATACATTTTTAATCACTTTTCTCAAAAGATTTTTGGCTCGGTGTTGAAAGTGAGACACCAAAAGTACTAACCAAATCAAGTCATAATAGGGGAATTTGCAGAACAAGTTCCCCATAAAGCACTTGGTGTACCTTATATATGAGCTGTGGCACACGACTTCGGCTTTATTTGTGCAGAAAAGTATGATATAACCTTTACTAACTACCACTTTTCAGTCTGATGAAGACTGATGAAGGTTCACTTTCATTTTAATTTCATTGTAGTATAAGAGAAGATAAATTTGCGTCTCTAGAGCATCAGTGTTTTATGTAGTTATTGGGAGTACCTGGAGGAAACCTTTAAGTGACTTGGATGTCTCTGGCTCTTGGTAGAGCAGTGTCTGGAGCCTGAGACATCTGCTTCCTGGAAATAGTCAAGCTGACAGAGTAGCACTGTATGCAAGGGCTTTGTATTTTCTTCCCTGCCCCATGTTTTTTGTTGAGGTGCTATTTCCTTTTTTGTTTCTGTACTCTTTCCCTCCCCCCTTCAGGAAATGGCAGCAGGTAGGAGTCTTTATGGACTTGAGGCAGTAGCTTGTAGTCATCACAGCAGTATGTGGATGCAAGTTCTGTATTTTAACACACTTGAGCTTTCAGTCAGGGGCATAAATACATCATTAGTAATAACCATAAATGGGAAAGATGTGGCTTAGTTGTTGTGTAGTCCTTTGAGGATCTTCATGATGTATTTCTGGAGAGACCATCAGATGCATTAGAATTGTGCCAAGTATCACTCTCTCCTGGAAGTGTGGAGGGTTTCCTTGTAGGCAAGTCACTGGTGTCTGTTTCAGCTTCATGTAGTTGTTATCTGTGTAGTGTCCCTGCTAAGTGCAATTTAAAGCAGCACAAGACAGAACCACCAGTGCAGCACAAAATGGTCTTATGTCCATCATCAGAATGAGAGACAGCTCAACAAGTAAGAGTTGTGTTGCTTTTCTTGCTTGAAGCGCATTTGCTTACAAACTTAATGGTGTTTCAGTATTGTTTTAACAGATAGCTGCTAAAGAATTCCTACTTGACCTTTATAAAACAAGCCATTTAAAACAGCCATGTTAATATGAGACTCTAGAAGACTCTTCAGGAATGGGTGTATTGAAGCAGATTGCATGGCAACGCATACGTTGAGAAAGTGGCTGTCGAAAGAATCCAGTCTGGCAAGGTGACTGGTGGATTGGGTCAGTAGCATCTCCTTAAAGAAGCATCAGCAACTATTAGTGGGCTAGAGAATACCTGTGCCAGCTTGAAAGCAGCTTTGTCTAGTTATTTTTCTGAAAAACTGTGTAGTGAGAACCTTGCATTGATCTGCTTGATGGCTCCATCCAGTCCTTTGTTTGGTGGGCTCTTACTGCAGCAGAGAGTGGACAAAAGGAAGTGATTTCAACCTGCTGTGACGTGGGACCTTACAAAATGGCAAGAGGCAGAGTGTTTTGAGCTGCATGACATTTTATTTTTGTGAATTGTTTTATTTCTTTTATACTTGAGCAACTTCAATGCATCACTCTGTCTTTTTTGTTTAGTGATCTGAGGATGTGAGCTATCAAGGCTCTTTCAGGGATATTGGCTGAAACATCTTGCATGCTCTCTCTTTTTTTAGTTAGTGGTGGAAGCACTATCTTTAATACTTAGGAGTTCATTGCTATAATCACTATCTTAGATGAAAATGAATTCTTGGGGAAAAATAATATTATTAATTTTTCTTATAAACTAGATTCTTACAAAATAGTATGGTCCTGTTCATTATATTCAGCTTATACCAACTAAATCTGTTAGAAATCTTCAGAATAGGGGGCAAGGACTGAAGTGCAGCCCTTGTTACAATGAGGAGAGTTTGTTTTATGCTCTGTTCCTAATGTGGTATACTTACCCTTTGCTATGCATTACTTCCTAAATCAATAAATAAGCATTTAATAAGTAAAGACATTGTATGGGTTTTTTTTTACAGATAACAAAATATTGATTCTGCTATCAAACCTACAAAAGGTTAGTTTAAATTGCAGAAACTGGAGAATAGGGTCAGTTCATATGCATATTTTTGTTATTGTTTAACTGCTAACTATCTACTGTTAATGAAACTTCTTTTTTTTTCAACTTCCAGATAAATCATATGGTATTCTGGGGAAACAAGAAACTATATTAATGAGCATCAACTCCTTAATTATCCTTGTGACTACATAACAGGGACACATTCATGGCATTTCTTTGTGCAATAACTTTTGCGAAGAAGTATTTTTAAACTGATCATTAATTTTATGGCCACAGAAATGAGATGCAAAATTTATGCTGTTGTCATTGGCACAGGTTCAAGGCACTACTGACATTATGTGTGATTGTAATGGAATGGCTGCCAACTAATGAGTCTATAGACATTTTGTTTGAGCATGCTTTGCTTTTAGATGTCTGATTAGGCAGCAGTGCTTTCAATTATGCTTGCAAATTGTATTGGATACATTTACCTGATGCCCATTGTTGCTTTGTAGTTTGGTTTTCTATTACATAAATGCAAGTTGAATGCTTTGCTTTAATTTATTGATGCTTTTCAGGTGTATTTTTAGGTACTTGGCACCTGAAGAGAGGAGTAGTGGCTTGTGCTGCTCAACACTGACTCCTCTGACTGTTCAAGGAGTAACACATGCAGCTTCAAATGCAATTCTGTCTAGCCTGTCTTGGTGGAATGTAAATTGCAGTGCAACACACTGATGGAGGAGCATTTAAAGTGGAAAAGAGACAGAGATTATTCTGAGGGGGGAATGCAGGAGATCCCACAGAACCAACAGGAACCCTCTCAGTGAATTGCCAGGAGCAATATCCTTATATATTAGTAACATACACTTCTAAGATGTGTTTTAACCCTGTGAGAATTAGGAGGCAAAATCCCAAGGTTGAATCTGGCCTGTAGTCATTTCCCTATGTAAGTACATAAAAATGTTGTGAAATGTTCCTTATTAAAGCTCCAGAGCAGACTGAGTCAGCTGTCTATCAACATGCCTGCAGTTCTTTTGTACAAATTAGATAATTTAAGGATTGCATTTCAATGTATAATATAAACTTCCAAATACATTGATTTAATCTAAAATAAAAATTGGAAGATTTTTCATATGATCTAGTCCTGCAAGGCTACAGGTTGCTTGTACCTCTGTTTATGGTTTGTGACCTATTCTCCACATTTTTTGCATAAAATGTGGATACCTGTATGTAGTATTGTAGCTGTATATGGGATTTACATATTTGTCTTAGTAATTTGTGTGATGTTTTGTTGTTTTTTTTGCCTCCCCTCTGCCATTTTCTCCTCGTATGGAAGTTTTCAAGCCTTTATTTGGGATTTAACGTCTAGAGAATGATTTGAAGATATAAATTTGCTAAAAGCACTGAGAGTGTAACTTCTTTTTCATAAACCTCAACATGTTTTTTGTTTTGTTTTAAGAGCATTTTGAAGTTGAATATCGTACACTTAGGTGCTTGTTTTATTATAAATCTGTGCTCTGTGCTCACAGCTTTTGTTGTTTCAAATACAGGATATACCTGGGGTAGGTACATGGTGTGCCCTAAATATATATATATATATATATGTATGTATGTATTAAAAAGCCCCTTGTGTCTAGAGCTGGCTTTTATATGAATGCAAAGCACAATATATTTACTGAACTTGAAATCCTAAGCATAATTTGGAAACGGTAGTATTGTGACTTAATGGAAAAGATAGGTAACAGTGCAACTTGCATAAGAAGCCCCTTAAGAACATGGAAGAGATTAGGTATTGCTGAGTGGGGCACAATTCTGTGGAGATGTTCTTCCTACATATTTACTTTCCTATTTATCATCCACAAGTGCTATTCATTTAGATATATTTAGGTTTACTCTTACTATTCAGCCCGTGAATTTTGAGTGCTGGAGTGTGGTGTTTGTGGAAACATTTTTCCTCTGTAAATACAGCATAATAGTAATTTATGCTGGCACCTTCATGAAGGTTAAATGATAGTACATTTATTCATAGCTGATGGGGACACTTTTGTCTAACAAACAGGGCTTATATATATGCTATATATATGTGTGTGTGTATACATATATATATGTATATATACACTTATATACACACACTATATAGGTGCATATTCCTTGCATTCTAGTACTAGTATTCTAGTTCAGGATAGGAAAAGAGTGAAGCAACTTTTGATACAGTATAGGTTGTGAGTATCATGTCTGCTCTATTTAAAGGGAGTCTATTGTCTAATAAAGATATACATGTATTGACAGACAGGCAACTGGTCTCTGATATGTAAGTGTGAAAGATAATAACGCTAGTTGTAAATATGGCATAATATTTTCTGTTCATGTGCTATCTGCTCTCTGGTTTTCTATTTGGAGGGAGAGGTGAATCCTGGAGGGGGATAATTTACTTTGATTGGTTTGACAGGTGTGATGAAATGCAAATATTTTGATCAGATTAACACGATGGCTGGAGTGCTACTGCAGGATGGCCTTGTCAAAAATAGATTGGAGTCAGGTTCAGATTCAAAGCAGTTGTTATATAGCATGGGAGCTTGAAAGGAAGCTTTACTGAGAAAAGCATGCTAAATTAATTAAGGAAAAACCAATTTGGTATTCTACAGTTGTGGGATATAAAAGAACTCCAGCAAAGCAAAAATGAGGCTTTGTTGTCTTAGCTGCGTGAAAAACTTGCCGTTCTTTGCTAGCAGCTATGGTTCTTTTTGGGCACAGACTCTGAATTTTCTATGATTTTCTGTTATTAAATGGGAAGTAAAGGGGTAAAACTCAGCCACGGCTAAGCAGTCCTGATTAATGCAATTCACATGTCTGCAGAGAAGAATATTTTCTCTATGTGTGGGGCTTATTTTGTATTCTAAGAAATTAATTATCGGGTACAATGCTCTAAAAGGGAGTACATGAATAGGGAAGCATACCTGGAGGTCTCTGGAAAGCTTTCACCATGGGAGTATACCAAAAGGCAATGATTGAGCAATTTAGCTTCATATGATTCTTGAGAAAATTGAGGGTCGTTTGATCTATTGAAGCATTAGATTTAAGATTTTGGTTTGGTGATTTTTATCATATTTAATTATTGACTTTTCCTCAATTTTATTTATTTTTTTTATTAAAGAAACACTCTCTTTTCTTATTTTTTCCCCTCTTCTTCACCTAGATGGTATTAAAAAAAAGAAATCTGAGAAAATATACTGAGTTTTGAGAGGGAGAACTTAAATTTTGTCTCATTAAATGGAAACCTCAACTAATATTGATTTCATTTTACCCTTCTCAGACCTTTACACTTAATGCACTCTGATCACTGTAGTGCATAGGTTAGTTCATAATGTAGATTTTTATATATATTGTTGTAGGACTCTCATTTGCATAAGAAATTCATTAACAGAATGCTGCATGAAGGCACTGGTTCAGACCTGGTGCTGTCAGAACGGGATTCCGTTTTTAGTTTCATGGGAGGAGTACACATACAAAATTTGCAGAGTAGTGCCTAATTACGGTGAAGAAAAGTGAAAGTGGGTAGAGGGTGACAAACTGCTGCCAGCAGGAGTTTGGCAATTCCTTGGAGGAAAGTTGCTGCAGTTCCTTCCTGCACATGGACAGGGCGGAACTTTGGAGCTTGGCCCTGCCTGTGTCTCCTGCCAGTGTTTTCCCTTGCCCACCTCTTTGCTGTGCTGTGTGTTTCTTTCCACCTTGTGTGAGAAGCTGTCAGATGTGCAGTGCTGGGAGTGGGTTCGTTATATGACAGTGTTTAGGGAAACTGCTTCAGCAACATGTACATGGCTGGTTGGAAGATAGCCCCAGAACAGCAGTGCTCACAGCTGCGCATGAGCGTGCAATGTACCTGTTACAAGCATCAATGAGAAATGGGATTTCTTCCATTTCAGATAGGAATTGATAACCGTATTCCTAATAAAAATACTTGTCTTTAGATTCTATCTGTGTTTGCACGATAGAGTATATTAACTATCAATGTATTTTTTACTTTTACAGAACTGGAAGATGAGGAACAGTCTGAAGTCTCTTTTACTTCACCTCCTGATAGTCTCTCAATAGCGTCTGACCGATATGATAAAGAGGATGAAGGACCTTCTGATGGTACGTGACACTGCTTACCTTAGAATGTACTAGATTTGCCAGTTTTCTATAAACGCATGCAATTGGATCCTCATGATACGAATGCTAGTGTGGGAAATCAGATAAACAGATAAGCATTACAGCTGGATGGTTTTCTTACAAACCTTTAAAGGAACTGAAGAGCTCTCTCTAGTGGTTCTAGAGCATAGTGAAGCTGTCTCAAATTTACACTTTTTTTTTTTTTTACACTCATGTTTTTTCGTAACAAAGCAGCTTCTGTAGATGCATATGTTTTTGAAGATAGATCAGTGGCTAAAACTGAGTATTTGTAGTAACAAATTGTTTGTTAATTCAATGTTATCAGATTCTTGCTTAATTTTATTGCGCTACTTAATGGCTTACTGTATTATTTATCTAATAAATAATGAAAGAGTTTATGTGATTAATATTTTTCTGCAAACTCCATGCAGAATAGGTTCATAAAATATTAATTATTCTTACAGTGTTTCCTTCCGTTAAGACAGTATTTTGTAGAATGTTTTCATTATATAAATTTCAAATTTGAGTTTGCATTAAAAAAAAAATCCAGGCTCTGTAGCTGTTTTCCTTGTTTTATTTTGTATTCATTAAATTCAATGCTAAGTGTGACTGTTCTGAAGACATGAACAATTGAATACTTCAACAGTTAACAAGTGTGCTTTAGCATGGTGTCCATATTTGAGATTAGTTTATTGTATACATAATATAAATACCTTCTATGGATAATATCTGGTAATAAATTAAATATATGTACAAATAAATTAACTATGTATATTAATTTCTGGCACTAGAAGTTAGATAGACTTACTAGTGAATGATGTTTTCTGACATGATATGATGATCAAACTGTGCAGCTCCATCTTGAAATACAATTGCTGAATGAAAATATGCTTCCTGCAACATAGCACTCCACATTTTATGTTATCCAGATTATTCCCTTTGGAAACATAAATTGCTTTTATGAGATATAAAATTATGTTTATTGCAGAACAGGGATAAGTCAAGTACATGCATAAGTGATAAACCTTCTAAGCATTGATTCAGGCTAAAGGACTTGTTTTTTTTTTTTATATCCAGAACTCTGTAAAATGTGTAACAATAATCACACTTTTTTTTGGGGTTTCTCTTTAGTTTTTTGCATGTTGGCAATGTGACCTTCTATTAAGAAATAAAACCAAGCCTTTTTGCTTTCTGGTTGAAATGTAATTATCAGACAAACTGAATATTGCTTTTAGGAAAGCCAAGCTAATTTTCCAAAATACAGCTGAATGCAACTTTCCATGTATTTATTATTGCTTACAAACATAATCTTAGCGTTATTTCTAATTGTAACTTAATAACATGGTACTGATTGCATAAAGGGTATGTGACAAAATTATATGGCTGTTTAATAGGAGATATGATTATAGATTTGTTTCAAAACAGCTAATTAAGAAAAAAATTATAATGTTCATAAACCTAAATAATGAATGGCTGAATAATGCTGATGCAAGAGTATATGAAATACTGTATGACTTTAAACAGATGGGTAAATAATTCTTAGCCTATTTTGAAAGTTAAGATTATGAGAGTATGTATAATAGCTGCCCAACAGTATCTTGGCTGATACATTCCAGTTTAGGTAGAAATATAGCGGGTGTGATTTTGTTGTATTTAAGATTATTTTGCCTCACTAATATTTCTACTTTTTATGATAAATCCTGTTCAGTTATCCTGTAGGAGTGCCACATGAGAAGTCGAGAAAAGGTGGCAGATTTTGATCTCTAAATACTTTCATTTATTGGAGGAGTTTCTGTTTTCTCTTTGAATGTCCAGTGTGTTATTCTGAGACCATTTGATTTTAACATATGTGGTCCATCATTCAAGTCTGCCTACCTAGACTATGTATGAAAATGTATGTTGAGAGAATCTTATGAGAGGTGGATTGATTCTCAGAGGTGCCATTTGTTTCAGTTCTCACAGGCATGAATGAGTTTGTTGAAGCTCAATACTGTGTGTTTTTTTTTTGTGTTTTTTTTTTGTGTGTGTGTTTTTGTTTTTGTTTTTTTTTTTTAAACAGTCTGTTAATGCCCAGTATTTAAAACCTACTCAAGAAGCTGCCTCTGTAAGGTAGATGATTGATGGTTACCAGCTTAGTTCAGGAGATGTAAAACCACATTTGTATATGATTAAGGCTTTTGGCGTTAACAGAGGGATGTAACTGTAGGTAACCAAACTGAGATGTTTGTTATTTATATTCGCATCCATTCATATTTTAATGTAAAATATTTTTTATATATTTTCTGCTAAAAACCCCAAAACAAAACAGCCATTTAGCTTTGTACACATCAGTTAGACTGTAAGGTTTGTACGACTTCTGAAAGCGTCACTGTTTGACTTTGCGGTGTTACTGTCAAAATATAATTTGTGAAGGCACCCACTTGGTAACAGATAAAGAATTAGTGTATTACGTGTACTTTACAGTCATTGTAAAATCCTGGAGGTTTTGTGTGACCTCCGTCTAATGGTGTATTAATTACAAGAGAGATAATCCATTTAACAATAAGTATGGGATAACTAAATTAGCACAGGTCCCCTAAAGGCCTTTTGTCAAATCTGATTGTTGTGTTGTCCTTTTGACTTTTACCTTATGCTAGGCACTAACAAAGTATCTAAACTTTGATGGATTATAAACTCTAAACATGATATGTATTTTTCATAATGCTAATGTAATTTTCTAGGTACTGAAAAGGTCAAACCCCCACATCTCTGTGTGCATTCTAAGTCTGTCTTTCCTTTTAATATTTCTTTTTCTCTGTTCCTCCGGTTCAAAAGTTCACTCAGTTCCCAAATGGCCACCTAATTTTCCAGTTATTCCCTCAAGCCATATGTGTTTTGGTTTCTTTATGGTTTATTAGGTACTGTAGGAAAGTAGCATAAGTTATATCATCTAATGAAATTCAAGCACACTTCAGTGATGCTTTGACTTGATTGCTGGCAGCAATTAAATCACAGTGAAGGAGAATGATGCATAGGCTTACATGTCCAGACACCCTACAGAAACTGGAAGAGGGATAAAACACAACAAAACCCCCAAATAAAATAACAACCCCCAAAACAAGACAGACAAAACAAAACAGCACTGCCAGGCACTCCGTTCTTAACTTGATTTTTTTTTTTATTGGCTAACAGCCTGATTGATAGCAAAATCATAACTTGCTGTATGCTAACAGGCAGAGTTCACTTGTAGGTTATTGTGAGCTGATAAAGGGTTAGATGGAGTTTTGATTTTCGCATTGGTCCTTGGTGCACCAGATTAATGGAATTTCAATGAGAGACTGGAGTAGTCACAGCTTTGTCAGAAAAACAAATGGAGATTCTATAGCCATGTCTGCTCATTAATACCAGTTGCCTGAAAGGTGTACTACTTCTCTATACAAAAGACTCAACATAATTGATTTTTGAGCAGGGTATTTTTTCACTTATTGATGACTAGGTTTCTTGCAACTTAAGTGACAGGTTTTTGTATAGTACATTGTATAACAGTGTTATGTCTTGTAAATTCTTACTCCCCTTCCATCTGTGCTTTGAAGAATGTGTGTAGCAGAAAATATGTCTTGATCAGTTAAAAAACAGAACATACCAAAATACTTAAAAACTGAAATAGTTGGTGACTATTATTATTATTATTTATTATTATTACTACTAATACTACTTTTAGTTGAGACATTAATTGGGGGAAAAGTTTCTGGTTTTAATTTAGTTTTCAGGTTTCTTAGGATGGTATTAAATGTAGATGTAATGCATGATGATGCTTTCCTATTTAAGACAGATATCCCCTTTTATGATTCCAAAGGATTTTTTTAACAGTAATTTTTGTTTCACTTTTTTTTTTGTGGTATGGTAACTTGATTCCATAGTAGGAAATGCCATTAGTATTAAAGAACAAACTTTCAGACTTTGGAAGTGATGTGAGTGATCCAGCTGCTTCTGAAGAAGGTATGTCTGTTTAGCTCTGCAGGGAGTATGTGACTGGGTAATTACAAGATCTAAAAAGATCAGAATGAATGCTGGGATGAAATAATTTAGAACATCATCGTTTTCATTGAAGGTCTAGAAATGTTGCCTTGAGCATGTAAGGATGGAAGAAGTACCAAAAACATGTCTCGGGACTTGCATGCTCTTCAAATTATCATATTTGGCTATAGCTTATGAATAAAATATGCTTTTTAGTAGAAAACTCTTAAATAGGATGAAAATCTCATACTAGAAATTCTCTATAGTTGAAGTGCAGGAAGGTCTTAATATAAAAGGATGTTAAAATAGGATTAAAATAGGATGTTTGGAGGACTTTGGGAAATCAGAATAGATGAAGGTGGTGTGCTTTAGCTTTCCTCAGAGTGCAGTCTTGAAAATGTGCAGAACTTGTTGCTCCCTGTAACATGCTTTTCTTGGTATAATTTTTGGATAAAACAATGAGTTCTAGCACTTCATTATTATGCAGCTCCCTGGAAAAGTTTTATGCAAGTCTTTGCAGGCTTGATTCAACTGTTTTATGTGATCTATAGTATTTCCTTTGCATGAACATCCCATTTTGCGTTTTGATTGATTAAGTGAGAATGAAAAGTTGTGTGACTAAATTTTGCATGCTGCTTCTTTTGACATTTTAAGTCTCAAATACAAGTACTGATTAAGCTTCTTTCTTTTTCCTTTTTTCCCTATTTGGTTGGCATAAAGGTTTGAATACTGTCTCTGAAGAAGGGTAGAGTTCAGCTTAAGATTTTATCTTTATGTACATTGCATATACAAATATTTTCCCTGTTTCTTTGGTTATGTTTCTGCTGAGTTTATTTTTGAGGCACCATATTAAAGCAAAAAACTTTAATATGTTATTTAATAATAATCTGGGTGTGTTTCATCACTGAGCCAGCCAGTTAAGAGGTGTTAGCAAAGGTTGGAGAATGGAAAACACTGCTATTAGTTTTCTGTCGTCTCTCCTTTTG